TGGTGCCTGTGTATGTCTATAAAGTCATCGGGTAGATTTCAATGGTATTTTTTATCACCTCTACTAATTAGCATGACGCAAATTTCCATGCTTCCTCCTCAAATAAAATACATTTTAAAAATTTTGTTGGGTTTTTTTGTGTGTCTATCACACAGAACATCCCAAACAATCTTATTCATCTACACACCAAGTTCCTGTTTTTTAATTTCTTATATTAATCTCAATTTTATATCGGTCATTTTCCTAGATGTCTGATGAGCCCTGGATGCTCATTCATATTTAAGACTGAAGTATGAAAAGGTTCATCGGCAGCTCTATGTACATAACTGAGATTGTTAAATTGTGGCCTTCCTGGCAAGCAACTGAGACAGACCTTAACTCTGTGATTAGAGAGATCAGCAAATATCGCATCTGCAGTATTATGGAGGTTAAAGCTCCAATAAGGAATCACTTTAGAAGTGTTAATCTCTGTCATATAATGCCCCCGTTCCCATGTCTTACACATCTGCGTTCACTTTTTCCCCTCTTTCCTCTGTCCTGTCTGGACTGCGCTTTGCTCACCCTCTGTGTACTTGAACACTTGCCAAAAAAGAGGGAAAGAAACCTCAAGATCTTCAGAGGGAGAGGGCAGCGTTAAGTGCACATTTGCTTGTCTAACAACTTACCCGGCAGGACTGAAATTGAAATTTCTCCAAGCCAGCTGAATGGTCAGGTGGAGGAAACGGGAAGCAGCACCTCACAGTGTGTGGGGTCTTGAGACCAATGTCCAATTTTGTTCCTGCTCACAGCCAAGTTTGTAGCCTGTCTTGAATCCCACCTGCCTGCTCACACCGTCTTGTCTTTGGGGAGTTGTAGTTTCTGACGCCTTTCAAAAGACATCAGAAGGCAAGAAAAGCTCTTCTAGCTGCAGAAAGAAATCATGTGCTAAGGGATGGCTGCACTAGCTCCAGTCATTGGGATTCTGTGCCTGAGAGAGAGGCAGGGAGGACCACTGATCATCATTTACCACATGTCCCATTAGCACTATATTTGGTTATAACCTCTTGATTCTGGGAATGGCTTACCCATGCCTGTTTGCAGCATTATGGAATATTTGTCATATTTTATTGCTTTGCTTTGTGGTTTGATGTGGGAGTTTGGATCCTAATTCAGATATTCCTAGCTCATGAAACTTCAGAAAACTATAAATCTCTGTACTTTAGTGTCTCCATCTGGATATCAGGCACTAGTGCTTGGAGAGTGTGTTGCACTGATCAGATAACGTAGTCTGGGCAAGTGATTAGCAGAGTCTGGCATTGCGTCTGATCAAGAAATGATGGAAAAAATTTCCTCTGCTCTTGTAAGCTGGAAGGCATTTTAAACCAGAAGCCCCCAAAGAGCTAAGTTCAATCATTAATTACAGCAGATTGAAGAGCTTACATCTTTTGTCATAGAGAACATTTTCCTTATACAAAGCTTTTAGCCACACTCTGAGTCATTATTTATAATTGTGAGCCATTCAAACCCTTTTTAAAAGCAGGAATATCAATCACCGAGTCACTTATTTTCTATTTCTAATTGTTTCTAAACTCTGAAGACTAGGCATGGAAAACCATTAATGTGGTTTGTGCGGAAGCAGAGTAATACTTTGCCAATTATAACTAGAGTTATTATTTTGTATTTAGGCATCAATAACAATCCAGTCTTTAAGGTCAAGTGAGTAAGAATTTATTTGAGTCCATAAGTGATTGAGAAAGAATCATATTTATACAGAGAGTTTTTTAAAATTACTTTTTGGGGGATGGGGGTAGATGGGTCAGCAGTTAAGAGTGTATGCTGCTCTTGCAAAAAATCCAAGTTTTGTTCCTAGGATCCACTTTGGGTGGCTCCCACTGCCTATCACTCCAGCTCCAGGGACAACCGGTGCCTCTGGCTCCCACAGGCACCACAACTCATTCATGTACATGTACCCCCACAGATACATATAAGTACACATAATTAAAAATAATTTTAAAATCTCAAAATGACTTGTCAAAGTATTTAAAATATGAGTGATCATATACTTCAAATCATCTAAGACTAACATTCAATCACATACACATAAAATAAAATTTTTTTTTTAAACTTTTGGAGACAGGGTCTCCCTGCAGCCCCAGCTGGCCTGGAACTCACTATGTAGACCAGGCTGGCCTTGAACTCTTAGAGATCTGCCTGCCTCTGCCTCCAGATTGCTGGGATTAAAGGCGTGCGCCACCATACCCAGCTTCAATCTCCTATCTTAAAGATCCCAAGCAAGATTAAAAGCTAGTGCCTGTCTGTGGTGTCTGTGAACCCTGCAGTCTGTGAAGTCGGTCTTGTGGTCCATTTCCTTCACTCTAGAGCAGGGCTGTTTTTGCAAAGTACAGCAGCCTTTTATCTGTCCCCTATGGGAGGACAGTACTGCAATACTTTTATTTTCTTGACATGGCTCTAAGGCCAAAGAGTGTGCTCAGGGTGACCCAGTAGCTTGTGGTACTGGGTTAGGCGCCTGTATTGTTTACTAATTCATTTTATTCAGGTTAGTCTGTGGTTTCTGTAGAAGGAGGTGAGACTGGGCTGAGACTCTCATCTCCTAGAGGATATTCAGTAATATGGGAGGCATATCTTCAGGTCAAACTATTTTTCCAACAGATATTCAATGGCATCAGAAGTAATTCACCCCGGATACAGAAACTGTGTGCCCGGGTGAATGTGAGCAACGAGGTGAAATCTTCAGGAAACACAATGAGAGTCGTGTTTTTCACTGATGGATCCCGGCCATATGGAGGCTTCACTGCCTCCTACACATCCAGTGAAGATGCAGGTAACGCAGGGTGCCGCAGAGCTGCTGCTTCTGATGAACACACTCGATGCCCCACAGATGCCACCCATAGCAGCAGCAGCAGCAGCAGCAGAGCCTTCTGCTTCCACTGTAGTGATCTTTGAAATTATACGTGGGATCTTTAACCCAAGACAAATATATATGAGCAAACAGAAAATCTGATCCTGACAGAGAAAAAAATGCTTTTGTGGTTTCAGAAAAAAAGTTGCTATTTTGAATTACTATAAAAACATTTTTTTTAAAAACAAAACATCATGAGATTCCTTGCTTGCCCAATTCCATACAACACCACTGCTACAACTGGGTCTGAAGCAACACAGTCCCTAGTCAGTTATTCTGTGTTGAAGAAAACATCTTCCTAGGAACTTAGTACCAATGAGTAATTCCTGTCACTGTGGACTGAATACATTTCACTGTTTCTTGTTCACCCATTGACATGCACATTTCAGTGAAAATAGACGTGTTACTCTTAATACAGAATATCCCAAGATGATATAACATGTGACCTGAATTTTAAATGCCCTCTCACTTTTAGGGTTGATGTCAATATCCAAGGGCTTTTCGATTTAGGAGAAGTGGAAGTAAATATATCTTTTTAAAAGTACTGTTTAATTTATTTCATTGGTTTTTTAGAGATAATCATTACCATATAAGGAGTGAATTTGTTGGCACTCCAGTGTTACATTATCAGTTTGAGCCAATTAAATTCTTAGATCAAGTGGAGAATTGTTTATCAAAAGCCACTGGGACTTACTGCTGGTTTATTTGCATATTCTTCTAAATTAAATATTAAATGAACAATAAGTCCAAATTTGGAGGTAATTGATACATAGCCAAACCCCAGCCATCCACTCTATTTGAAAGGAGAGACAAAGGAACTTTATTTTTGTATATCTTTCCTCATAAGCCTGCAGATTTCCTCTACAGATTGCTTGTTCTTTGTCTGCAAGTCTCAGTGTAACTAGAAAAGCAAATTAATGTGGTAGTTATTACTTTACTACTGTCTGCGGATTGTTGGAGTCTTCTGTTATGATATGAATCTTCTCTCTTTGGTGCCTTTTGTTGCCTTAGTGTGTGGCGGAACACTCCCAAGTGTCTCTGGTGGAAATTTTACATCTCCTGGCTATAATGGAATCAATAGTTATGCAAGAAACCTAGACTGTGAATGGATGCTCAGGAGTCCAAATCAGCAAAATTCATCCATTCACATCCATTTTGTAGAATTCTCCCTTGAAAGTCACCAAGACTGCATATTTGATGTCCTGGAGTTTCGAGTGGGTGAGTCCAGTGAAAGACCTTGCCTTCTCACTTACCTGCATGTTCCGGTCTTTTGCCTGGAGACAACAGAGGAAGTCAAATGGCAATGATGTCAGTGTATAAGCTGCAAAAGAGGTTTGGCAATACAGAGCTGAAATCCCATGTGGCCTGCTAAGGAAAGCATGCTCTATGACCTGTGAGTGAGGCTGGTCCTTGTTCACAATGAGAGCCTCCTTCACAGGGTTCCTGTTTGGGAGACCCACCCAACAGTTCTGAACTTACAGGACTCACAAGGAGGCTATTACATTTTACCTGGCCCTTAAATTTTAAAATATTTGACACATGGAAAAGCTCATGGGGGCTGTTTGGGGAACCATCTGTAAAGCCACTAGTTGTCTTTTTGGGAAACTCCCTTCCTTCATACAAAGTGTAAGCTGGCCTGGATTGTGGACAGAGCAGGACATGCAGCTTCTCAGAAACCCTACCATGTCTCCCTCTCTGGGGCGCACACTCTTCTGCAGTGTTTCCCAGATGAGGACCACTTGGCACTGACAGAGGGCTAGAATCAAGAGCAGCAAATGGTTCTAAAGCAGAGGAAACAGGACACCAGCCAGCTTCAGGGCTGCCTTCTCTTCCAAGTGTGCTCTCTGTAATGTGATTGTATTCAGACTTTTTTTTTTTTTTTTTTTTCATGATGGGGAAGGATCAAGGCATACCTGATAAACCATGCTTCACTGAAGATTTTTTTAGAACTCTCTATTTATGGATAATTAATCAATTCCATCTCCATCCTAGAAGCTAGGAACTGCTTATCTAACTAGATTGCACCCATTGTCAGACTGACACTTGCTTCCCAGTAAATAAATAAGAAGTCCAAAAGGGAAAACAATATTATAGACAATTATATTATCAAACATTAGCTGTGTTATCCTTAATCCAAAAATTTAAAGAAAGCCAAAAACAGCAGAAGTAATTTAGTAGATAATTGCACTAATCAATGGGAGCTACGTTATTTACTATTACTTTTTATTTTAGAGGAGAAAAAATTACTGGCTCTGTCTAGCAATTCTGTATTGTTCCCTGATAAATTGTTGAGTGGTAGATAAGTAGTAGAAAATAGAAGAGTAATAATATCAACATTGCTACACAAACACCATTAAAGAGCTAGTAGGAATCACTCCTGTGTATGCAAAAAATAACATTATAACATAATATTCGGTGTTCACAAGAGTGCAATGCTGTCATCAGTGTTGCAACTTTACACAGATGAGTCAATTTTAAGAAATCAGAAGGTTTAAGAATATGTTTTAGGGACTGGACAGATGGCTCTGTGGGTAAAAGCACTTGCTGCTCTTACAGAGGACAGGGGTTTGATTCCCAGCACCCTCATGGTGGCTTTCAACCACCTGTAACTCCAGTTCCAGGGAATCTGATGCCATCTTCTGGTCTCATGAGGCACTGCATGCATATGATGTATATAAACTCAAGCAGCCATAACACCTACACATAAAAATAATAAATAAATCTTTAAGAAAGAATGTGTTTTAACTCTAAAGTTTGAAGAGAATTTATATCTGGTCTTAATAAAATAATGTCATACAAAGATACATCCCAGAAGCTCTGCACCGGATGTCAGAGGTCTCACTTAAGAAGATCTCCACAGTCACCAATACCTTCTTCTGAGGACACAGTAGACAAAGTCTTCATGAAGGAGCCTTTGCTATGATCTGTGGTCACAGACCAGGGACAATAACAAGATGATCATCTCAGATATCTGAGATGGGCTTGGGAAAGGCTTGGGAGAGAAATGGAAGTTCTGTCTCAGAATGTTTTCCACGAAATGCTGATAGGCCTTTTCTCCTCCCTGGTGCCACGTCTTTCATAAAATAGAGCAGAGCAGTTGTATATTACATTTCAGTCAGTTAAATGCAATCTTCTCTTTATTCCCTCTGATTTAGAGACAGTTAGAATACTATATCTCATTGATTTATAAGGTCAGTGATGTTCATCTGACAGAATAAATAGGGGGCAGATAAATGTGCTCTCTTGTGCTCTATAAATGCTAATCAAATTTCTGTGAAAAGCAATCTTCATAAAACATGTTCGACTCAGACTTGACATTCTTGGCCTGAGTGCCCAATATTCTGTTCATTTTAGATGATCAAATGCAATGAAGAAATGTTTAAAAATGTAGGCAATTATCGCCTTTATCTTAAGGATGTATTTTTTAATCACTGTTGATGTTCTAGCTCTTCCTCCCTAAAGAAAAATGCACATCTAAAAGGGGTTTTAGCTTAGTTGTGTCTCTGTTTGGATATGAGAAAATTGAAATGTTGTATCAAGAAATACTTTGTAATGTGTTTTATTATGTGTTCCTGCTGAATTAAATATATTTGTCCAGAACTATATAAATAACAGCACTTGGTATCCCATTTCATTCAGGTGATGCTGATGGGCCCCTGATAGAGAAGTTTTGCAGCCTTTCAGCACCACAAGTGCCACTGGTTATCCCCCACCCTCAGGTGTGGATACACTTTGTCACCAATGATCGTGTAGAATATACTGGCTTCAGCGTAGAGTACTCCTTTACAGGTAAGCCTTGTGATTAAGATCTCCATCTCTAGAAATAAAGAGGGTTAAAACTGTGTAATTTTATAAAAATATCACATGCAGTTTTAGAGATTTATTTCTGATATACAATAGCTTAGTTACTAATGGCAATGAACGGTTCCAGATTACATCTGATATCTGGTTTTAAAATTCTTATATATCTGTCTTTTTATTCCAGAGATCTTATTATATTCTTAGTGGATTTAATAATTTGCCTTTTATTCTCTTTGGTTTTTCTGTGCAGAAAATTACGTCTTCTGAAAGTTATAGTTGTTATGCGTGTGTTTTTCATTCTGGATGCTTCCTTGTTCTTAGGTTCTCTCACTGCTAGGCCTGCCATCATCATAGCGAACACACAGGATGATGGCACTGGGCTTCTAACCTTAATATCAACGTCTCTGACATTTTGGTTTTTAAATATGTTCTGTGTTCTTAGGTTTCAGGTTAAAAAAAAAAACCTTTATAAGATGAAAGAAAATCCCTTCAATGCTTCATGAATGTTAAGTTTTTAAAATAGGAATGGGCATAAGATTTTACCAAAATTTTCCCACGACTATTGAAATTATCCTGTTTTTCTTTCTTGCATGTAGTAGTATGCGAAATTATATTAAAATACCTTTCTCTTGGTAAACCATTCCTGCATTGCCAAGATGAATTCTACTTTGTCACAGCTTATGCTTTGTTCATATTGCTATATATTACTGATACTTTGTGTTAGATCTACATGTGTGACATTCGGAGTTCACATGTAGAAATTCAGACCGAGGTGGGCATCACTACTCCTTGCTGTTTCCCTTGGTCACTGGTGATTTCACAGGTTCCTTCCCAACTTTGTGTAAAATTTCAATTACAGATCTTCCATTTACGGAAACTTAAGTCACATCTTTTTTTCCTGCCTCATCTCCAAAACCTTAATCCCCACCCTGGACCCATGTCCTGGTTCTTCGTTCTTTCCATCTGCCACCTGTGCTGTTTGACTTTGCCCTCTGCATTTGAGTGTTCTTCTTGTTGACAGATTTTGGAGACCCACTTTTCTTCCATTGAGCTTGGCTATAAATCAATATATGTTTTGGCTATAATTTTATTTATTGTTCTTTCTGTTATAACCAAATGGATGGTTGGAGGAGGGAACACTATTTCACCCATTGGTGATTTTTTTATCAGATTGAAATATCTTATCTTGAAATATCTTTAAAGAAGCAGTGCTGTTCATGTTGAACAACAGATCATACGATGCTTCAGAAATGTGCCATTTTTCAACCTGATGCAATAATCTATCACCTAATACCCATCTGTGTACTTACTACCAAATGGCAAATTGGTTATGGGACTAATTATTTTTTCAAGCTTACCTGCTTTTGATGTCCTGGTTTTCTCAAAAAAGGGCAATGTTATTTACTTTTTCTATATTACATTGTTAGCTATATAAAATGGCTAATTATTCTCCATTTAGGTGAAGATTGTTTCTGTTCTGTTTTGTGCTAATGTCAAGCTGTCTTCACTACAGAATCCTGTTTAGTGAACTCTGTGTAGGATTCAATTCATTTGTTTCTATTCTTCATTTCTATTTCTATATCTTTACTTTTGTCTAATTTTATTTATTTACTTATTTATTCCAGTGTTTATCAGAAGGATGATGACTATTAAGGGGTGTTTGGGCTCTGCAAATCTTTTCTTCTCTCTTATTTAGAAGCTTACAAATCTAATTTCAGATTGTGGTGGGATACAGACAGGTGAGAGTGGAGTGATCTCAAGCCCCAACTATCCAAACATTTATAGTCGCGGGAGCTACTGTTCGTGGTTGTTGGATGCCCCAGAAGGACATACCATCACTGTGAGTCTTGCAGGGGGCTAACATAGCTTCAAGACTAAATCATGGAAATGGAGATTGTTTAGTAAGCAAGTGATTATAGTAGGCTTCCATTTTGCAATCAGAACCATTCCTCTGTAAAATTCTCTCATTAGATTGTATACATTGGTATCTACATGTCTTAATTAGCAAAGAGTGCTGTCTTTTTTCAAGCTTAGGGGAAGCTGTATGTAGAAGATAATTCTACATCCAGGACAGAGACAGACTCAGGGTCTTGTCATGAGCTGTCATTGTAGCCTGATAGAACACTAAGGTTCCATAAGTGACTCCGCTTCCTGGCAAATATGCCTTTTCCAAACTCACAAGAGAACCTGTAATAAGGAAAGGGGAGTGCAGAAGGAGAGAAGAACTGAAGAAGAGTCAGAAATGCAGAATTATGTGAATTAAAACAGAACGGAAACATTGGCAGGTGACTCAGCGTTTCTTTTCTCTCCCGCAGCTTACGTTCAGTGACTTTGATATTGAGAGTCATTCAACTTGTGCTTGGGATGCTGTCACTGTTAGGAATGGTGGCTCCCCTGGGTCACCCATCATAGGACGGTACTGTGGAAGGACAGCCCCTGGGCCGATACATTCTGGTTCTAATCAGCTTGTGGTGACTTTTACCACAAACCACTTAGGACAAAGTGGTGGATTTTACGCTACATGGAACACACAAACTTTAGGTAAAAAAAAAATTCTTTGTACTTGCCATTTATTTTTTTCAATGATACTTTTTTATAACTAATTTAAAATATAGTTATGCCATGGTACCAAAGGGAAATTGGATTCTAGGACTCCAGTAGATCCCCAAATTTGTGGCTGTCCAAGTTCCTTCTATGAAATGATATAGTCATTGTGTATAATGTATGAGCATCCTGCTGGATATATTGTTATCTCCACACCATAAAATTCATAATATAATATAAATGCTAAGTAAATTGTTGCTCTGCTATATTGTTTAGGGGATAATGACAAGATAATAGTCTGTACATGTTCTATGCAGATGCATGGTTTAAAAAATATTTACTGCAGCTTGTTGAATTCATAGACATGGAGCTGCTGACACAGAGGATGAAGTGCATATACATTTGTACCTACTGTCTGTTGGATTCTGTTCTAAATATTCACGCATATCATCCCATGTAGCAACTGTGGAAAGATAACACCTTATTATTACATAACTTTTCTCTTTTCAATGGGGCAACACTTGAGGAGAGATGGGCTGGTGTTTTGCTCAGGGATATCTTGCCGTTAGTAATCAGGATTTGAATAAATGTATTTAACCTGGAAACTTTGATGGTAACACTGCATGGTGGATACTCTGAGGGCAGGAGGGCATAGCGCAACATAAGTGTTGGAATCACAACTACTTTAAAAAAATTTAATCTCAGCTCACAGGCAGAATGCTGAGAGGCTAAGGACAGTGTCTACATCTTGAAGAGCCTTGATTTATACATTGTCTCTAGACAAATGGCATGCTGTTGAGGAGCACTTAGGATGAAGATGACAAAATAAAATTTGTGCTTTAGAATGAAGGCTGCTAATTGACACTGAATCAAAAGAGATTAGATTTGATTTAAAAGAATAGCTATTGCTGGGCATGGTGGTGCACGCCTTTAATCCCAGCACTAGGGAGGCAGAGGCAGGGGGATCGCTGTGAGTTCAAGGACAGCCTGGTCTACATAGTGAGTTCCAGGACAGCTGGGGCTACACAGAGATCCTGTCTCAAAAAGACCAAAAAGAGAGAGAGAGAGAGAAAAGCTTTTGTGCCTAGAAAATTTAAATCTTGTGAAAATTCTCAGAAAAACTATCCAGTACAGAAAGGATTTTAGGAAATCCTAAATATCACAGGACAGCTTTTTCCAAGCAGAGTCAGTTAATATGAAGATCTTTGTTGGATGAGTTCAGCTTTTCCATATTAAACAATTGGTTGCTCTTGAAGTCATTAGGGGGTTTCTTAATTTGATTTCACTCTGTTTAGATAGAATTCAAACTTTTTTTGTCATATCCTAAGTACAAATTGTTTTTTAATCATTATACTTTTTAAAATTTTTAATAACTACATGATTAGAAGCTTTTCACTACAGCTTTAACATATTCAGTAACACACTCCAGAACAACAGTACATCTCTTTCACAAGTGGGTGTAAGTTTCTAGGGTCACAGTTGAATTAATATAGTTACATATTATTGAACTCAGTATAAGCCCTGTTAAGACATAAAATTGGATGAGTTTTTAACCTTTAAAAAAGATCTCCATTTCATTTTAGACTGTATTGTTCCTTGCAGACAGACTCATTGTTTTTGCTACTAACACTGAGATGTTGGTGCATGCATCTCTAATCTATATGTATCTGATTATTACTAGTCATAATCGGTTGCAGTTGGATCCTTGTCACCTGTGTATGTCTATAAAGTCATTCGGTAGATTTCAGTGGTAATGTTTATCACCTCTACTAATTAACCTGATGTAAATTTCCATGCTTCCTCCTCAAATATAAGAACATTTTTAAAAAATTTGTTGATTTTGTGTGTGTGTGTGTGTGTGTATAACACAGAACATCCCAAACCATCTCATTCGTCTATAAACCCACTTCCCAGATGGCACCCTCTCATAGCCTCCCTCCCCCGACTAGACCCTTTATACTCTGATATTCCTGTTACTGTCTGCTGTGTTGTTGGCACCCCCAGCCATTCCCCACTACTTGTCCATCTGGTGAATCTAGTCAGCCTATCTAGAGGTCTTTGTTTTAGGAAGGTCAGCTGTTCCTCATCTAGTGGTAATTGGTTGTCAATATTCCTTTAGATAAGATTGGGGTCTGCTGTTTATTTTCCCATGTCTATGCTGGGTTACTATCTGGGAGTCCGTTTGGCCACCATGGCCAAGAACTCAAAAGAAGGTATCGCCTGCCTGGCATTGTTACTTGTTATGTAGCCTTTAGCTATGCATATGGAATCTTAAAAAAATTATATTGGCCCCTTTAATCTTTGGTTATACATTCCTTTTGGGTGTTTAAGGCCATACAGTTGGCCCAGATAAACCAATTTATTTTTACTCTTAAGGTCATTTGAGGACCTGTTCCTCAGGGGTCTCATGCGCTTGGGAGGAGCCCCTGGCTCCTTTTACCAGTTCCACCTATGTGAAGATAAGTCAAAGGTCCTGCTCGACCATGGTTGGCTTCATTGGGAAGCATGGAGGAAATGATTCCTCTGTGTTGACCCTCTTCTTTGTAGACTGGACAGTGGTTCAAGTCCATCTGGTGGGGTCTCCTCAGACTCCTTGATCAAGAGGAGAGTTGACCCACCACCATTATAGGACCTTTTGAGAGATGGTCATAGTCCCCTGGAACTAGTCGACCTAGGAGGGCAAGGAATAAAAAAATGTCCTTTATGTCACTCTGACAAAAAAATTATAGGCCTCAAAGTATGTCTGTTAAACACCCAAGAAGGTTAGTTCCAGCAGTCTGGTACTTTTAATTACTGTGTGTCATGTAGATAGATCTTGGGCAAAGACCAGTTGTTCTCAGATAAACCTTACCTAGACATATAAACCTTACCTAGACATATATTTCTTTTCTTTTTTTTTTAAATAAATCATATTTTTTTTATTCTTATTCTTTTATGAAGTTAGTTAAAAATTAATGAACAAGAAATTAAAGAGACTGCGCTGCAATTAAGTTAGAATATTCTAACTGAAAAACAATTACTGTGAAACTATTTACATTCTCATAGAATTATAAACATTTCTCAAGGAATACTTTACAGCACAACTTTTTTTTTT